AATCTACTAACTTCCTGTTAGAACTATCAGTACCATCTCGGTCGCCCGTGCTTAAAACCTCGAACTAGATTCTTACCCGGCTTGATTCTGTTAAGGATCGAGCGCACCGCGCATCCTGCTGTCCGCCATAGCCCTGCTCCTGCGTCCTTACCTTTGAACGTACCCGGACGCAATTCCGGTCCTGATTCATTCACTTTTCCTCCTACTGTCTGTCTTCGTCCCGTCTTTCTGTTCGTCCAGTCCACCCGTTCGTCACCCTGCTACCCCGTATGCACCCGGCTTGGACAATGCCCACATTCGGCCAGTCTCGCTGGCCTCATCCTCTCCCCTTCCTCCTAGCCCGTTGTTGCTTGTGCAATGCCCAGCCGCCCGTTACTTCTCCGCTTGGGCTCACCTCGCTGATGCTCGTCCCTCCGCTCGTCGTCGTTAGCACAACGCCCAACTGCTACACAGTGCCCCCGATCATCAGCCCTTCTGCGCAATCGTTCCTTTCTGCTCCAACACCCGACCCGACAGCCACTGCTCCTTCCCCGCTTGGTATTTTAGCGCAGCGGTCTACCCTGTAGCGCCAGCCGGCCCGAGGGAAACATCGGAGGGAACCAGCTACTGGACGGTTCGATCAGTCTTTCGCCCCTATACCCATATCCGACGAACGGTCTGCACGCAGGTACTACTTCGTGACTCCCGAGGGAGTCTCCCCCAGCCCGCTGCTGCAGTGTTACCCATTCCCGTCGATGCCTGTCTATTCTGCTTTGCGGCAACCCAGTGCACTATCGGTTCTTCCTACGGTTGCCCGGTGCCGCCCGACTAGGTCCATGCCCCTCCCCCATTGAGCTCGCAGGGGGAGGGGATCGGTGGGGAGGCCTAGTGGCTGGCCCAAAAACCCGGCCCTGGTGCCACTGGATGGCCCACCCCCTTTTTCCCAGACCTCACCACCCCTTCAATTTTCTCGGGAGACAGCCCCGTTCCGGTTTCTTATAGCAAGCCGCAGAGCCAAGAACGCAGGCCTGCTATGTGCCCACACGCGGGCCTAGGGAAAACGACCCGACGCCGACCTGTTGCGGTAGTAGCAAATATTCAAATAAGGACTTTGAACCCCGAAACGGAGGAAAAACCCCGTGGGCATACTCACATCCACAAAGGGGTCCCTGCCACTCAGGGTTTCTTCCACCTCGTGGGCTAATCACCCACCGGTTTGTACATACGTTAAACCCCCTTGGTCCGTTTATCTCAAGACCGGCGGGGTAAAGAAGGTCCGTCGGCATTCCGAACTCGCAGAAATCCGCAAGTCAACCAAAAGATCCGCACGCCCGAGGCCCTCGGCCGCCGCGACGGCTATCCGTGGGGGGTTTCAATCACTCCCTACCACAAGGAACCCGAACGGGCCCGCCGAAAGAGGCGCACACTCAAGGTCCTCGACTGTCGTGACGGCCATTAGATCCGGCGTCTCGTCCAAATCAAAAGCCCGCCAGGGTATATATACAAAAAAAAAATACAACGCTGAAGTAAAAATTATTTTAGAAAACGCCACCACCGTTCGGACGCCGTCATTGACGAAACCAAAGGGGGATAGCTCCACAGCCCTCAACCCCATCGGCTTCCTCCTCGATGCTCCGCTGTCGCTGCGTCAACGCCTGCCGGCCTCGATCCACGAACTTTCGTAATGTCAGTCCAATGTCGTAACCTATAGGGCTAAGCCCAAGCCTGAGACCAAAACATGTCGGGTGCCATATAAGACGGTGCGACGCGGCGCTTTGGGCCAATAAAACGGCTGCCCTCAGTGCCCGCGCAGGTTCGCTTATACCGTGCCATAATTGCCCCGCGCGCCATCCTACGACACCCCGCTCACCGCACGAAAGTCGCGCCGTCGTTGCCGATGCCGTCGTCGGGGTCGTTCTCCACAAGCGCGTTCGACTCGGTCAAAAGTACCAATCAACAAAAAATATCCTTAATTCCTGCTTAATCGAAAATAAATAATAAATAATATCATCTAAGCAAAACGATCGAGGTCCGGGCCGACTCTTACGATCAACAACAGAAAAGAATCACGGGCGCCTTAAACCTGCGCGCTCACACACTCGCTATTGTGGTCAACCACCCAGTCAACGCAATTACAGATGCAACCGCGCTTAACGCGGTATACTTCAACTTTAAACCAAAACTGTTTTCTGTTACTTACCAAAAAAACAGGGCGGATACCCTTGTAAGGGTATTCGCGCCGACAGCTTACCAGACCATATTAAGCGACGTCCCCGTCGCTTCGCCAAATCAGAAAGYTATAAATTCATCCGCAYTCCAAAAGCTGACGAAAGAGGAGCCAATCCGATTAGCCGACCAACATAGGGTAGAGGCCTCCATCAAATCATGCCTCCACAACTATATGCTGTCAGGTTTCTAACCCGGGCCTCTTACCGTCCAGATATTAGGACACTGACAGCATAAGTTCCAAAGACCTTTCCAATCGTCCTCTCCCTGGTCCTAGACAACCTTCGRCTTTTCGTTGGGTGTCCCTAGTCCAGGCTAAAACTAGGGAYGCGGGCCTTAACSGAGAYCTTTGAAGGCACTWTCGYCTTCTTTYTMAAAAACAATCCCTCACAATCAAATCTTCATAAGCATATACAAMTACTTAGTATCCACTCAGCTCTTTCTGCAGTCTRGTACAGAAAGGCTAGATCTCCATCTTGGCCCACCATAGCCTGGCTGATCGGGCCARGATTACGACCCACCGCATTGTTATTTAACGGCAGTACCCCTCGTTGGTTACACAACGATAGGTTTCCTCCTTATAAGCATTTAATCAGGATTCCCCCCAAAATTATCAATCATCACTATCCCACAGAGTAATTTCACTGGGGTGGGCAACTCCCCTTAAACTCTTACCCCGCGGTCCCGCAACCAGGTTGCGCCGGCTAGCAGCYATCCAATGGGGTTACGCCCTAGAGGTACTAACTTMTTTTYCGTTAGCTTGMCCTTTCTTCAATATGTCTCAGAATCAGCAYTAGTGGTTASACGGGGCGTCGCAAAAYAAAAACACTGGCCMACCGCGAGATACGCAGGGRTCCGAAAGCATTTACCAGCCCTCCTTCAATAGGCATGGCATCCTTCGTACGCTTACAAACAAAATCACCGCTAATTCCACCAGGCCGTGACCCSTGACTTGATCAGARCCAGCARCCACTCACCCTGAGACATCTCTCGCCCTGCACTCATTGCGACTTTTTCAAACATTCCAAAGAGTGSCCCCTTTTCGTCWGACTTTATCACTCATCAGGCAACTTACCATGTCATAAATCAGTTTACTCACCTCTGAAGGTGAGCCTCCCAACAACAAAAACATCCCCTTTTGCCAAAAATCCAAAGGGCTCTCATCATAAGCAAAACACCCCGTCTTCCAAAAATCGCGAGGGGTCTCGCCATAAAACAATACATTCCCTCTTCCAAAAATCACGAGGGTCTCATCATAAACCAAACACCCCCTCTCTCAAAGTCACGAAGGGTTTCGTTACATCACAAAACATCATAAAACATTCCCCCCCTTTTCCAAAATCTAAGGGGGTCCCATCACAAAACAGAACATCACTGAGAGACCATCTTATGGGTCCTCATCACAACTTAGATAACTYTCACAGACGGACTGCGCTTCCTCCCCTTATACTCTGCCTTATCAGCTACCATGGGTAGGTCGCACAAGTATACCGAGGAGTAGACAGTTTTACTTACAATCATATTCACAATACCCAARATACATAAAAKRTTTTTCACACATTGTCCACTCAAACTCATCATACATCAGAGTACAACCACACATGTGAGAGAGACAAGTGATCGTCACATATAAGAATGGTCCCTGAAGGAAACCTCATCATAATATACACTCAGGGAGTACAATGTCTCACACAGAAAGTGTCTCCAAATCATAGCTTGCTCAACTCAAGCCACACCAAACCCACACTAACAACTACCCCTAGAATACATGTCAGATCTGTCTCTCAAAGGCCAGGGCGTAGGTCATCTAAATATGTACATGCCTCATCTAAACCACCCTGACCTTCAAAACCCCAACTCAGTAGAAACACTAGAGTTCTGATCTAAATTAACAACAATCATCAAAATGTCTTCTAAGTCTAAGAAGGTATCACACAGAACCTAAGTTGATGCCTCACAAAATGCTCGCTCACTTGTATAGACAAAACCGACACTATCTCCTCAACTCCTCTTGGTTTTGCCTATATAACTGAGCCCTAAGTCCATCTGCAGATTTCTCTACTATCTTGCCCTGTCTATCATATATTTTACCCCCTGCCTCTGAGACCTTTCCTACTGCCTTATCCTCAGGGAACTCGAGACAATCCAGAGCCAGATGCACGCCCGTTTCGCAGTAGAAACATAACTGATCAATCTTCCTCTTGAACTTCTTCTTCCTGGGCTGTCGAGGTGGTGATGAAGGAGATCCCACCAAGGTACCGACACCCCCCTGCTGCTCTGATCGAGGAGTTGTGGTACTAACGATTTCCTGCTGCTCTGTCCCCGGAACCGGTCCACCAGACCCAGATCCAGTAGCCCAAGATCCTAGTCTTCCTCTCAAATCCTCTGTCGCTGGGACGTTCTCGGACGTGTCCAACCTCTGAGGCCTCCTCTCGAGTGTTGCCTCTGGCACTGCGTTGGGCTGCTCCTCAATCTCCTCTGGTCCATACTCAGGTGTGCCTATCCTCTAGAGTCTGCTCTCGATGGTACTCTCTGCCTCAATCCCTATCTCTCTCTCAAGAGACTCCTCTATCTTCTGCTCAGGTGAAAACAAACTCACCTCCTCCTGCATAGTATGCACCGCCTCAAGGAGCACGCCCATGGATCCCTCTGCTGAGCCCTGAGCCGGCTCACTGCTAGATGGTGGCAACCCCTCCTCTACTGCCAAAGGTACGACTGGGCCTGGCGCCGCCACTGGCAGCGTCGCGAGCTCAGTAGGGGCTCTAAACTCGAACGCCTCTCTCTCTGTCTGTCTCTGGGCTCTCGCCTCCTCTGACTCCAGGATAACTCTCCCCATAGGTGGCTCCTGGCGAGGCCCTGCTGCAGATGGTTGTCCTGGCAATCCCTGTCCTGGCTGCCTCTGCTCTCCCTGCCTGCTGCTCTCTGGCCTGTCCACCCTTCCTTGGGTTTGCTGCCTCAGGCTCTCGATGATTGCTGCCTGGCTGGCCACCAAGGTCTTGAGTTCCTGAATTTCCATCTCCATAGCCTCCAGGCGTACTCCATGGCTTGCTTCCTTTATCTTCTTCCCTGTTAGATCGCCCTCCAATAACAAGTGCCGGTCAAAAGTGGTCTTGGCCAGGAACTTGATTTTACGATCTAACCTCTCTTCCGCCTTCCTGGCCACCCCAAACCCGGCTCTGACTGGCGATGGAAGCTCCTCTCCTCTCTGCTCCCAGAAATCTCTCCACATCTCAGGAATCTCCGGGGTCTTGGCTGACGCGCTGGGTGGATGACCCGGGAGTGCTCCTGCTGCCTCCGATCTCTGCCTCTCCTGTTGCTGCTCTGGGAGCTCCCCCGCTGCCTCCAACCTCTGTCTCTCCTGCCATATCTCATCTATCCGTCTAGTTCTTCTTGCCCTCTTTTCTTCAGCCGTCTCTCCAGCTGGCGCCCTTTCCCTCGTGCGGAGGTCGACCCTCTTTGGGATCACTGCTTCCATCTCCTTCTCGGGCTGGCATAACTCCTGGCGTGGCTCTGCAGGTGCTGGCTCCTCCAGGTCTGGGTGCTCCGGGGCATGAGCTGCTAGGTGGCTATCAATCAGGATCAAAGCTTCTCTCCTTACACCTGCCCTCTCTCTCCTCCTTTCTGCCCTCCCTTCTGGCGAAGGAGCCTATTCTAACGAAGGTAAAGGAGTCTCTGCAACCCCTCCTTTGCCTACCAGGTGCTCCCTGGTGCATCCCCGAGTCTCAAACCCACTGCTGGCGTCTGTGGGGGCGTGTCCTCTCCAACCTCTATCACTTCCTTCCCTGCACGTCTCCCCTCATCGCCCAGCCCTCTCTCTCGCTGAGTACCCCGGACCTCTTCCTGTGGTACCTCCTCCCGTGGCATCTCCTCTCGTGGTATCTCCCCCTGTGGCACCTCCTCTCGTGGCACATCCTCTCGTGACACCTCGTCCGCCTTCTCTCTATGCCCCTCACCCTGAAGCGACGCCCTCCACCGAGAAATATTTAAATGCATCTCCAATTCCCTCAAGGGCCCCTCTGACGCTGGTGGCTCCCCCTGTGTGTGTGCTGGCGACCTTCTCAATCCACCCTCAGTAAAACGATGGAACTTCACTGGCCCCAACCCACACTCAGGGTATGCCCCTCGCTCCTCATTCTCTGGCTCTTGCTCTCTCCTGGCTAGGGCCTTCCGTCCTCCTCGAGATGGTCTCGCCTCCCTGGGCTCAGGGTCCCTCGGCCTCTGACTCCTCTGCCGCCTCTCGACTCTGGGCTGAGGGAGCTCTGGCCGTCGAAAGGCCTCTCTCATGTGCCCTGCGGCTTTCCCAATCTCGTGCCATGTCCCTGATCTGCATAGCCAGTGGCCTTTTCGCCTTCCTGGTCCAGAGTGGTAATGTCTGCATCCAATCATCTCTCTGTATGCCCTGCTCTTGCATGAACCACTCAAACGCAGGGATGAAGTCCGACACATTTCCAATCTCCAAGCGGATCGGCCTGCCATCAGGTCCCACAGGCGAGGGTCGCAACCCCTCCATCCTCATCTCCACCTCCTGCCTCGTCGTCGCCTCCCTATGAATCCTGGCAATGGGCTCTTCGAACCTACCTGCTCCCCTCAATCTCTCAATCGCCTGAGCGACGGTCCAGCCCATACGCCTCGCATGCTCCCAGAAACTGTCCAGGAATAGCTCGATGTCCCCATCATTGTAGACAGGAGTACTCTCTCGATGGCGAGGCCCATGCCGCTCATATCCTCCTGATGCGCCCTACGGCCTCTGAGGCGGCCGTGTCCCCTTCCCTCCTCTTGGCATGGCTGTCTTCGCAAAGTCAGACCTGCACAACAGGCGAAGGAGACAACAGACACACATTGGGGTAAGCAAGCAGGTGATAATCAGAGCAAGCCCAGACCAGACCACACTCATGCAGCATGCATCCTTCCTAATCTACACACCCTGTTACTTCTATTCTAAAGGCGGTCAAGTCATCTCTCTTACCTCTTCTCTCGCCGCAAATTTCTTCAGTCGCGTTCCAGATACCCAATCCTTCCACTCAGTCCCATTTAACTCCTCGACCTGGTACGCTCCGAAGTCTCCGACCCGTGCGATTCGGTAGGGACCTAACCATCTCTTATCGAGCTTCCTGGACCACTGCTTCTCCAGCGATGTATCGTAGAGAAGCACGACATCCCCGACTGTCAAGGGTACTTTCCTCACTCGCGCAGACTGATCCCATCGAGCCTTATCATCCATACGACTTCTCGCCACCTGGTCAGACGCCTCCTGGATCCTTTCTTCTATTGCTCCTATCTGCCGCGCCCGAATATCGAGCAATTCTTCAAATGACAGGTTAACTTCCTGATCCTGGCGCCTCCATGTATTAAGAAAGCTTTCGATAGGGAAGGTGGCATGCCTTCCGTACCACAGCGTCGCAGGTGCGTTCTTGGTGGATCTCTTTACTGTAATGTTCTCGACAAAGAAAGCCGCCCTTAGGTATCTTGGTCATTGATTAGGCCTACCTTCGGTCCATTTGACCAGGAGATTCGTAATGGTACTATGTCCTCTCTCTACGGGAGCATTTGCCTGGGGGTGTGCGGCCGTGGTGTAGTTGGCTGTCACACCATACCTTGATAAAAGTTCTTGCACCTCCTGGTAGGTAAACTCTGATCCCCTGTCCATTACGAATTCCCTGATGAAAGGATAACGCAGGTAGTATTCCTCGATGCAGCTCACCAGGGCTGACCCGGTCTTTGTGCCAATGGCACGCCCGTCTACGAACCCAGACAGGTTATCACGCGCATCGAAGATATAGTTATAGCCTTGATCCCCAAGTGGCATAAAAAGTAGATCGAGATGCACTACAGCCCCCACCTCTCGCTCTAGCCTGGGATGCAGCGACTCTCCTTACCTTAAACGGGATCTTTCCTGGCAAGGTACGCAAGATCGGCAGAACTTTCGGACCATTCCATCATCCCATTCCAATAGTACAACTCACTTATCTTGGCATACGTGGCTTGTACCCCTCGATGTCCTCCTGCAATACCATCGTGAAGCGCTGCTACGACGTCGATCTGACGATTCCTACCGCAGACGACTCTCCTGGGATTCCCTACTTCCCTTCTCACGAAAAGGTGTCCGTCTCGCACTAAATAGCGCTGCAGCATCCTTTGACCCCTATCGCTCGCATCTCTTAGCCGCATTTCACATGACAGAAGAAGCCCCAGCTCTAGGTAGATCCCGTCGTACTCCTCTGCACGAAAAGCTTCCTTAATT